GGAGCAATTTAGAGGTAAACAATGTAGAACCACAAAAAAAAAATCATTTTATCTAGAAACAGAGCAACTGTAAGAAATTTATTTAAGATAGAAATATCCAACGAAGAAGGAGCATTAGAATGAATTAAAATGAAGTTTTGCCAGTTTTATCAGGCAGGGTGAAAAAGGATGGGAACATTAACCCATAACAAATAAGGACGGAGTGATCCACAAGAGAACTAGTTATTACCTCAGAAATCCAGATTCTTCTCTGTAACCCCTTGTTGCATCCACCTACTACATTCCAGCTCATTTATGCACACCTCGTAAGGGCCACCTTTGCATATTTACACCTTCCCTCCCTGGAGATAGAGCCATACCATCCTAGGAATGATTCTGGTTATGAGAGAAGTGCTGGAGCCCACAGAATGGTGATCAGGTTAAGGCAGGCTGAGGAGAGAGCTCCCATTACAGCAAACCTGCAGCAAAGCTGGGAATTGGCCCATCCATGCAGCGTCCTTCCATGTGGAGGGGAGGTCACCTTTGCTCCTTTTCCAAGGATCTCTGCGTCTCTTGTCAGGGCAGAAGGAAGAGCACAGCATGAGAATCCAAGAGGATCCAAGTACAACTCTCAGCACAGGAGAATGGATGGATACCAAGCATAAACATTGCTGCAGTCAATTTAATAGACAAGGCAGAATGTGAATTATTTTGGACCTGATTCAAGCACGATATAGAGGTCAAATCTATGGAAATGTTTGCATCCTGCAAATCTCTAGTAGAGAATGGAATTATGGTGAGACTCACAGCCTACCCTGCACAACAGAACAGACTGAAACAGAGAACACACTTTTGATGATATAGAAACTTGGGAGGAAATATCTACAGTCATTTTCATGTACACAGAGGTAAAAAAAAAATCAAATTAATAACTAAATATCCATTATTACAAGTATCCAAACACTGGGATCAGAGCCTTTCAGACCTTCTGCTTCTCCCCTCTGAACAGCTACTTGCCAGGGTGAAAAATTCAATGTAATGAGATCAGCTTTGCTATTTTAGTCTCAAAAGTGCAGATGGAGCATATGCCTGTAGATAGTAATAATATCTGTATTACTGCAGTGTCTGAAGACCCCAATCAGACATAGGCCATTGAACACTCAGAAAAAAACTCTCAAAGAAAATTCCTGCCAAAAAAGGTTCACTATGTGCACTAAGGGGAAAATGCAACCTGGAATTTAATTAAACCAGTAGAGATAACCATGGAGAGGAAGCATGTAAAAGAATTGTAGATGAACACACAGCTACTGTCAACTTTGACAACATCATGCAGAAGAGCCACAAGCCTGTGCTTTGCAAAACCATTCTTTCAATCTTTAAATTAGATTTTAAAAATATCAGAGTCTATAAATTTTAGTTGGCCACCCGCTTACTTTGAAAGGACTCTCAATCAGCTGTGGTAATAAGAACATCGCCTCACATTATGCAAATAATATTTAGACCACAGAGTTCTGCTGAAGGTTTGTGATCCCTGTCGATGGAAGGTCACATCCAGCCCCCAGGCACATGAAACCTCTGTTGTTCACTGCTCAGCAAGTACACAGCACACAAACCAGAAGGAAGTGTCTTCCTGGATTTCATGCTTAGTCCTCACTGTACAGACCCATCACAGATGGATTTTGTTTAAGCTCTACCACATGAAGTCTACACAGCGAAAATTGTACTCAGATGGCAACATAATCCATCTCCATCATCTTCTTCAAAACTTCCATTCAAAAAGAAGAGTTTGGGAACAGGGTCAGACAATGTCCTGCAAACTGCAGCATGTGCAAACTAAGTTACCAGGCTTATTTGCTTTAAAATATTACGGTCCAGTCTTCACTGCAGGATGGCATGGTTTTACAGAGTGGTATAATTCATGTTGTGTTTATCATAAAATGGCACATACTTTGAAGTATTAATTTTCAATTATGCAGGAAGTGGAGTAGGAAGTAATTTATTGTGTGAAATCTGTCCTTATCTTCAAGAGTCACTGGCAGATACAGTGGAACTTAGGGACTTCAATGTCATTAGGGACCAGAGTGACTACATAACTAGTAATCACTGCTAATCTAGTAGCTGTCAAGGTGACATGTAGCTACCATAGTAACCAGCATAAGATCAACTGTTTGTTTCCAAAAAAGTGCCTACACTTCACTCAGCTACTTGGCATGTTTTTTAAAGCCATGACAGAGAAAATAAAAACACATCATGCACTTTAGAACTTGCATCTTTCCCTGCTTTTCTTTAACAGAGGAGAGAATGCCTCAAAATAATAATTTCACTGGTTTTACTGAGAATGCCCCACTAGAAGATAAAGTATCTGGACCCACGTAACATCAGCAACATCCCCATCACTCTTACCTAGGAAGAGTGCACAACAAACAGCAGAGACAGCAGGCACCCTTAGGGAGAATCCCCTTCAAGGCATTTTTGCACAGGCTGCACACAGATTATTTCATGCAGCAGTCAGAGTACAAGGAGATGTTCATATCTAAAAGTGATATACCTCTTCTAACACACTCATACCCACTCCAAGTAACTACAGCTAATTATTAACCACCACCCCTGCTCTTTGCACTTGGCAGACACCTCTATCCAATCGTATTTATATTAAACTCTCACTCACACGGAACTCCAACATTCAACAAGTCTCAACATCTTCGTCAGGGGGTTAAAAATCTAGGAAGAGAGGAAGGCACACCACAAGGCAGAGTCAGAGAGACACTTAGGGCTGAAGTGGAAAGGACACACAGCTCTTCTGGCTTCCCATCCATTGTGCAACCACTTATTTCAAATCTATACCTACAGATTTCTGGGGGCTTTTTCCTGTTCCCACACAAGCTCAGGGCAAACCCCAAGGAAAGGAAAGGGAAGGGTGTAGCTAAAAGGTTTATATTTTCAGAAAGGAATGAGCCTAGTGTCATATCAAAATATATATTTTTTTTAAATTTCCTTGTTAGGGAAAAAGCTTCAGACATTACATTAAAAACTTATATACAAGTAAGTATCTTGAGCTAGACATTTAAATTACTTCTGTGGGATGTTTGTCAGAGAAAATCCAGCCTGCCTTATGGCAGTGCTAATCTTCTCATATCTGTTTCACTTTTTATCCTTGCACCTGCCTGTATTAACAAGATTAAGATTTAAGCTGGAAGAGCGCTGTCTGTCAAGGAATAACAATTAATCTATTGATTTAACCATCAGAATAAGAACCAAATGGAGTTCCTGGCCCAGGCAAACAGAAGGTTTTTATTGCATTATAATTCAAAATCCAAGTTGTGCTTGTGGCAGGCTATGTCACCAGACTGCAGAGGAAACAATTAGGAGGGCAAAAGAGACACTGGAGTTTTCTTGTGAAAGGATTCTTACTTAACTCTTATGGCCAAAAGGAAGATTTTGCATGTGATCTTGCCACAGAATTTAAAAAAAAATAAGAATTTCTGTTTTCCAGATCACTGGCAGATCCAACCAAAGTCATTTAGGGAGTGTTTAAACAGGAGTGCACAAGGTTATCTTTGTGAAACCAGGCTCCATTCACAGAGCTCACATCTTCTCATCTCAAATCACAACCCTGAGCTGCACTACTGCCGTCTACGTTACCATCTAGCTCCAAGCAGAACCTGCTAGTTCAGGGAAGTTTCTGCACTTGCAGCAGACTTGGCCATATTTATTAACATAAGCTACCATAGCCTACAAGACAGATAGCTCAAAAAACATCCATGTACCACAAACCCACTAGATGAGAATGAATTAATGGGGAACAGAGTGTCGCAAAATAACAAACAAGTTTTCTTCAAAGTTGAATGCCCCAAAGTAGTGCTAAGGCTCAGATTCTTGGAGACACCTAAATGTTCATTCTCCCAAAGCTTTTTCAAAGTTTTGCAATTTATCCACTTTGCTAATACGCTGAAAGCAACTGCTATGACAGGCCATCCCAAAGTTTGAGTTAACCAACTCCATGGTAAAGATCAGATTGCAAATAAAAAACTCACAGATCAGTTTTACTCGCTGAAAGAAACGGAGTGCAAACATACACAAAGTATGCACAGAAAGCAGCAAGGAAGTGACAAACGGAGCTGAAACAGACCAGGTGACAAACAGAGCTAAAACAGACCAGGTGACAAACGGAGCTAAAACGGACCAGGTGACAAACGGAGCTGAAAGGGACCAGGTGACAAACGGAGCTGAGCCCTCGGAAGGCAGGCACAGGACGGGGACTCCGCGCAAGTGACAGCACAGGGAACAAACGCCGCTTGTTCCCGGCTGACCGCATTTCCGCCTCCTCCCCTCCCATTCAATCCCAGCGCTGCTGGTGCTCCCTCCATCCCCAAGCCATGCGGGCTCCAAATACTTTTACCTCGGTGAGGAAAGCAGGCTGGAGAAAGCATGTGATCACACGGTAAGTTTATGCTTCTGTTTGCTGGCACGAGGGGGGAAACCCGCTATGAAATAGGCTGCTTAATTAGAAAATGCGGTTAAACGCTAAGTGTAATTGTGTGGAGCGTGTGGATCTGGAGCAGATTGAGCAGGGGAGTGTGTGCTTAAGGAGCAACTGGGACAGCTGTGGACATCTGCAGCCGTTGCTTTAAGAGCAGTAAATGCTGTATGGTTAGAACAAGAAAATAAGTTGCCCGTTTTGTCCTTTGTGCTGGAAGTCTGTTGCCCAAATGCTATTGCTCCTGAAGGAATCCAGCGCAGACAAAGCTGAGACAACCCAGAGCCCCTCTCCCCCCTCCCATTATTCGGTACGCACTTCTCTTCCCGCTAGCTCACAGTTCTGACAATGCAGGGGAAAAGAGAAAGAATGGCAGAGGGAAGCAGAGCACAGCTGTGCGTTGCAGAATCTCTCCATATTCATTTGCCAAATAAAGCCAGGACTCAAAAAGACAACGAAGATGCATTAGGACTACACCAAATCCACGCCTCTGAGCAGCGAGGGGCTCTCTAACAATGCATTCAAGCAACAGATAGAGATTTACCTTCAAAATGCAGGCCATGTTCTTTCTCTATCCTTCCTACCAAAGAGCTGCAGGATTCTACTTTGTGAGCAGCAGTTCCAGTGTCAGGCAAGAGGCTGGCAGAGCTGCAGAACTGCTAGAGCCTACATTCCTGTAGATCCAAACGAAGGTAGCACGCATCCAGGATCCGTTAGTCATATTAGTCTTTTTACGCCCCGTTCGTTCCACCCATCAGCTCCTGCCACTGGCTGGGAGCCAGCCCAGCACCTCCCCTCCGTCACATGACCGAGTTTGATTCATGGCTCCAGAGTGTGTTTTCCTGAGCTGCGGGACGTACGAGCAGCAGTCTGTGGCTTGCGGGGGCTCTGCGATGCCCGCAAGCCGAGCTGCGTGTTCGTAATTGATCCCTGTGCAGCCCTGCCGGTGTGCTCAGGGGATGGCTGCTGACAGTCGGGCACCGAGGTCCAAACTCCCTCTGGTTTGGGGGCTGTAAAAATCCTTATGCTGCTTGTTAGAGTGCGGTGCTGTGTTATGTTCAGCCCTTTTCACTGTACAGCAGGCTTCCGTTTGTCTAGATTGCTGCCCTATGGGAAATAATCATTACCAGCAAGCAGCCCAAATGTCCCACCAGACGTGTTTGCGGTGTGCTGTGCACGGCTTTTTAGTGAAGAGCTGGCATCCGTCACAGGGAATGAAAGCTTGGGTTCATTTGTGAGGGTTTTTGCTTGTGCAACTTTCTTTGGACTTTCTTAAGATAAGGCAGTGGGGTAAAGTGCAGATGAATAAATTCAGCTGTTGAAGAAATCTTTCACTTTACATAATATTCTCATCAAATTCAAATTCTTCTCTTACATAACATACTCTGTATATCATAAAGCCTTTACTTGATATTTGTCACTTCTCCTGCAGTCTCTTTCTCTCCTTTTGACACCTTCTCAGCACTTCTCATTACTTCATCTTGGAACCCTTTGCATTTTCTGTACTTGGCACCTTCCCTGTATTCCTTTTGTGCCACATTGCTTCACTCCTGCTGCTTTGGTACCAAAAGCTCTCTGGCTGCCTTAATAAATTCCTTGTAGTGGGTGTCTTTATCCGGTCTGCAGCAGCTCAGGTACCTGTTTCCATGCAGGCAGTATCCTGCAGCTCATGTAAAGGAGCCATTTACCTCAATGGCTGGGAGCCAGAAGGGCTTGGTGCTGGGCTGCACATTTAACAGCCAACACTGTTCCCAGCCTGGAAGCCTCTCCTATCCAGGTGCAATCCCTCAAGTAAGGAGGTTGAAACTAAAGGATCTAGATGTCCTCATTTGTATGCAGGGGCAAATCCTCCCTGAGAGCGGAGCAGAAAGGGCCTGGGGGGATTTCTCCTGCTCACACTCCTTGGCTGCTGTGCATTTCCAGAGAAAATGCCAGTGTGTGTTCGGCCTTTGCAAAGTGCTGTGCTCTTACACAGGTCCTGCAAACTCCTCAGCACCTCTCACCCCTGGAAATCCATTTCCTTGTTCAGTTACAGACACAGGCTGAAGCTCTTGAGCTGAAAACTGTAGTATTGCTGGGAAGACTGATGAAAAATAACTTAATGAAGTTTCTATCTGTATTAACTAACATGAGGAAACATCAAAATGACAAGTCAGTGGAAGAACGTGGTAAAAAAGGGATTTACAACATTTTCTATTAGAGGCTACCACCAACCAGTGTTAGATCATTCTGGATAGCAGTTTATGTGTATTTAAGTACTTGTTCTTCATAAGGAGTTCTGTAACAAAGCTCTGTTTCTTACTGAATAAGATAAACAAATAATTAATTCTTTCCTGAATAAAAAATAACTGCCTATTTTTCTCTCCAGCAGTCAAGAATCTTGTTTCCCTTGGAGTGAAACTATTCTTATTACCTGTGAGATGACATGAAAGAAGTTTTCATCTAAGGCAAATGAAAAATATTCCACCCCCTTCCCACCACCATCCACCACACCAGCTCTATAAAGAATACAAGGAATGAGGCTGGAGAGAAGCCGTCCTGAAAAGGTCAGCCATTTCAACATGTCCAAAGCATTGAGGGATTTCCAGTGAATTATATTCCTCAGAGAAAGGCAGAGGCATGGGTAGTTGTCTTGTTTTAAGTATCTCTGATATGCTTTGATTCTAAACATCACATCATACAAAATATGGTGAACTTTAACTTTTAGACTTTTTGTAAATTGATATTTATCTTAAAAATACTTCATCATTAGTATGAACAGCAACAGCCATCCTTCTCTTTTTCATTCAGGTGAGATATGAGATTTCACTTTATTTTCTCCTTGGGACAAAACTGAAGGGGTGACTTGAGCTGAGATCACCACAAAGAGCAACAGAAAGTCCAGCCTTAGGCTGAGCTAATTTGACCTCAGAGAAACTACACGAGGAAAGGCATCCACCAAATGATAGAAGCAACCAGCCACTGTAAGCACATCATTCCTTGGGTGTCATGAAGTGCTTTACCTGAACTTGTGATACTCTTGAAATCAGCTTTAGGCCAAACGTAGCTCACATGAATTTCAGTCATGCTTGTAACTTCCCATCCAAAATTAACACAGCTGTTGCCTGGTGGGGATGTCAAAGGCAGTGTGAATCTGCCTTTCAAGTCTGAGTCATTGTGACAGGCCACACAAAGTCCCTACTTCTAGTGCTGAGGACAAAGACCTTTAGTTCTGGGGACAAAGACCTTTTGCATGTTTTCCATCTAGTCCAAACCCTTCTGATACATTCCTATGGTGATGTAACCTTGGGGGAAATATGATTGTGTGGGCAGCAGCCCTTTGCAATTCTAACTCTTAAAACCTAATTCTGGCATAAGGAATCAACTCTTAATGAAGCTGATTTTCCAGGTAAGAAAAAAGACTTAATCAAGCCTGACTACTTCATTTTAGAGGTGAAACTCTGCTGGATTCTGGAGTGCAGAAGCTGAGGAGAGCAGGTGGGGCTTGTTACAGCCTAAATGCTAGTGTTGCTTTTCAGAATATCCTTACAGCTTAAAGCAAGCTTGCCATGTGCACATTATTTCAATAACCAGTATATATTGCCCTGCCCAGCTTCCTTCTCAGCACAATTCCTCTGAACTTTACTCAGCTACAGGACAACCCAGGTCCATTAAAAAAAAAAGTTTTAGTCACAGAATACTTCTGCATGTCTCAGTGGCAGGAGACAAGCATTACTTGGTACCATTCCTGCCATTGGAAATTCATCTCATCACCTCACTGTTATTCAGTGTCATGGTAACAATTTGGCACAGCCACACAGCGCTTGCAGACCTTGCGTGTTCTGGTGTTCCCCCCAGCCCCATTCTAAGGCACACACACAAACTCTCAAACCAAGGCTTCCCAACTTCTTTCAGCTAAACATTCTTAAAAAAAAATAAAATCAAGTGTTGGTCTCACCTAGCAATGCATGAATATACAGAGATTAAAACACAAAGGTCTGTAGAAGTTCTTGGAAGCAGAAAAAAGCAAGCCCTACAAATCTGTAATCTTTTCAGACTGTTGACATTTTATTTTCAATGCTTGCTCATCTGAGAGCTTCAGGTTTCTGTTTTCAAAGATAGTTATTAACTAGTGACCATTTTACACTGAACCACAGATTATTGGGACTTTTTTATATAAATGAAAAATTGTATATCATCTGTTATTTGTAATTTACTTTTTTTAATTAAATGTGCTTTAACAGAAACAATGGCTTTTTTTTTTTTAATGCAGGGGGGAAAAACGCAGAACAAAACAAAAACCCCACATGTTTAGAAAAGAACAGTGCCTCTCCCAGACAGCTTTCCTCTATTCAAAACAGGCTGAACAACTCTGAAGAGTGCTGTGCCTGCTTATGCCACTAGATGTTTTGTCTGTATAAAAATAGAAGATAATCAAATGTATGAATTGCTGCAGTCTCCAGGAGAAGAAAACCCATGAGTAAATATTCTGAAGGGCGTTCAAAAGCTAAATTATGTTTTTGAAAATGCTCTGTCATTTGCAGGCAACTGCTGAATAGAGGATATGGTTGGTCCATAGGTATTTCTTGTATGTTCTTCAGTAAGGGATGGATTTGGTTTCTCCCCTATAAAGTTTGTACATTCTTTGCTGTGTTATCAATGCTTTACACTCCCACTATTTTTATGAGCTATAACTAACATCACAAAAATACTGATAGTGTTTCACACTGAGATATGGCCATGTCAGTTTATCCTCTAATAAGATTTTATCCTGGAGAGTACAGCTGGCACATAAAAGGAGTTTAGGAAAAGGAGCCAGCCAAACTTCAATCATGGCATGGAAGGCCTTAAATTGGAACACAATTTAAAAGCAGCGTTTCAGCTTAGGAGAATGCCTCCCCTTGAACTAAAGGAGCAGAGACACCCTCTCCCTTCCCAAGGCTTTATCTAATGTTTCATTGCACTTGAAAGGAAAAGCTTCAAAGTGCAGCAGAAAAGACAAATATATTTAATTCAGGAGTGAATTAATTTTGGTGCAGGGCAGGGGAAGGAAGGGTGGAATTTTACACCACTCTGAAGTAACATGGAGAGGGTCTCAACCCCAGCAGTGTCAGATCTGAGCCACCTTGTTCAGCAACATCCTACTCACATCATCAGAAAACTAGATATAAACTAGCCCTGAGTGCAACTGGTGGTCTTGTTTCAGGAAGTGATATAAATTAGCATTATTTTATCATACTATAAATCAGTCTTTAACATGGTTACAATAATTTTAGGAATAAAAAAAGTTCTCACAGATTATTTTTTTCCTGTCTCGGATATATTTTGTTCAGTTATGGCCGCAATGTTTAGACACGCAGAAAAGAATTGGATTTGTGCAACCACAAAAGTAAGCAATATTTCTCAGTAGCAGAGGTGTCATATGGGGAGTTTTACAGATGATGGTCAGAAGGTCACAAAAAACACCTATTCCTGTTTTTAAAGCTCATTCCGTACTTGATTCCTGAGTTATGAAACCAATTAAACTATACTGAAATCCAATTCTACTCCTTCCATTAAAATTCTCGCAGTGAAATTCTCCTCTTGGCAAATTTAATGTCTTACCTAGCCACAGCATGAGCAACAATAAAAGCTGCTTATAGATCTGGAATCATGAGCTTTACTCCTCTGAATCCCAATAAACTGCTACCCTACTGCCCTGTTAAAACCACACTCTCCTTGGAGCCTTCAGAGCCTCTAACCAGCCATCATGCTGTGCCCTAG